CGGAAATGCCACGGGTTGAGTGGCGAGGTCCATTGGATTATGTTCTTGCAGAGTGGTTTATATTTCAAAGACCCAGCGGACGGCTGGGAAGGATTGCTTTTCTTAATTAGGCTTTCGTGATGGATGTCAGTGCATAGGTTCCTACCATTGGTTCTTAAGGGACTTTTCAGATGCGTTTCTTGTGGTCGGGCATGTCGCCGGGCGAGGTTGTGGATTTCGATATTGATTTGGTGACGGGCATCGTATCGTACGGCTCCGGCAAGAGGTATAGTAGTGGAACGAGCAGCTTCAGGCTTTCTTGGTAATGAGTTTGTTGGTAGGCCGATGTGGATACGTGTTTAGCTTGAGTTGGCTTGGTTGGCCCCGAATTGTATTGTTGAGGGATAGGTTGATTCGATCGTTATTGAGCTTGTTAGTGATCTGAGGAGAGCTATGAGTTGCTTTTCGATGTTGTGAGACGTTATGATTTGTTGGTTATGGGCACATGTGGTGCGGTTATATTGGGGATTCATAGTGAAAGTCAAGCGGGAAGAGTAATTGGGTGTTGCTCGGTAAATGGAGAATTGGTTATGACCTATCGGGTTGCGTGGCGTATGTTGTTTGTTTCACCGTGGGTGTAATGAATTGCTTTGGTTCTAGACATCAAATTGTACGTGGCTGTCGATTTTGAGCATAGTGACTTGGGGTGTTTCATGTGTAACAGTGTTTGGATAGGATCGCGCATTGTAGCGAGGCCACGTGGAGATATGACCTTTCGGGGTAGATTCAGATGTTCTATTTCTATGATGTGAGACGGGGTCTCAGCCTTGTGTTGTGATGGTACTGATGAGCTTGAGGTATAGCTCTTTCGTTTGAGTCATTTTTCATGATTTGAGTATGTTCAGACCGTTTCTTATTGGTGCGCGTATTATGCAAGTTGTGGCTTAGGCCTGTATTAAGGTGTCATATCACCAGAGTGGTGTGTTGGATTCGAGGTGATCGTTGGGGTCACTAATGAATACGAACGGATTTGATTTCAGCCTGTTGGAAGGATAATATTGAGGTTCGGCTCGGAATCTGTTGTGGTATTAGTCAAAAGGGAAGTGGCTTCATGAATGGTTGATCTGAGAAATGGTTACGGTTTATTGCGTGTTTCATTTATCGTTGGCAGTATATGAAAGTGTTGGAATAAGACCTTAGTTGATAAGAGGTTTTCTACCGGTATTCGGGTGTTGTGGGCAACTGCTGTGAATAGAAGTTATCGTTTCGAGTGTTTGGGTTATGTAGTATATCATATGATTGCACCTGAGGTTGCAGGTATGGGTTATTACAGCTGGTTCGGGCTTATTCTGAGTATAGATGTGAGGTTCTGATCTTGTGTATGATTTCGGAAAGTGCAATGTGGTTCTATAGTTTATGGACTAGATGGATTGTGAAATTTCATCTATGTTGTGTTATCGGACCTATGCGAGATAGGGTGACATGGGATCACCCC